GTAGTTGGAGCATTCTTTGGCACTTCCCTTCTTTGGTATTGGGATGTAGACTGATCTTTTCCAGTCCTCTGGCCACTGTTGAGTTTTCCAAACTTGCTGGCATATTGAATGTAGCACCTTAACAGCATCATCTTTTAAGATTTTAAATAGTTCAGCTGGAATGCCATCACCTCCACTGGCCTTGTTGTTAACCAGGCTTTCTAAGGCCCACTTGAAAACCCACTTGGAGTAATCTACATTTATTATATTCAATTTTACATGAGTCAAATACCACCTTAAACAGATTTTTAAATTTTTCCTTTATTCTTATCGACATTGACCTTAAAAATCTAATCCTCCACATTTTTATCCAATTCTCTATTTTAATTTCTATCTTTAAATCATTTTCCTAAATTAATTTCATACCTTTTGTTTCCCACTCTTTTTCCTCTTGTTCCAAATTATATTATATATTCTACTTACTACTCCCTTCATCAAATCATCTTTCTGCATATCTTCATGTCATGATAGAATTTGTTTGTACTTAGTGCATTCTCCACATTTAGCATTAGTTTTCAACCACTCATTCTTCATGTCATGATAGAAATTGTTTGTACTTAGTGCATTCTCTACATTTAGCATTAGTTTTCAACCACTCATTTGTCCAATTGTCTAACTGAATATAATTATACCATGATAGTTTATTAGTTTGAAGTTTTACCATAATCAACTCCTACAATCTCATTTTACTCATCCAATCCTTCAATCTTGCAACACTTTTGTCCTGAAACAAATCTACTAAACCCTTTAGGTTTGTAGGAAATCTTTCTATTTCAATCACTAATTTTAATGGTGAAGTTGAGGGACATAGCTTCTCTCTATATCTATTCCATATATTTAACATATTTGTTAAAAAGGGGGGGTTTCATCTGATTTATTGTATTTCTTTTTACTACTTTAAACAAGCATTTTTCAACATTCCCATTTATTTCCGAGGATTCCATATCCCACCAAATTAATTTTACTTTATTATATATAATCTCTCCAATAAATCTTAATTGATTTGCTATATAATAGTTTTTTACGTTAGGCATAACTAAACCTCCTTTTTGGGGGTCCTTATACCAATATCTTTTATTTATTCTAGATTTTTTTACCTTGATTACAAAATCTATTAACTAATCCCTGCCAATACTTAAAATCTTCTTCTTCTAATTGTATTGGTAGCATCCTAAATAAAAAGGTAATTTTGGGTACCGGTAATATTTTCATTTTAATCATAGCGATTCTCCCAAACCATGATAATTTTGATTTAGAATAAAGATAAAAAAGTTTATCTTTAATATCACTTTTTAGTTTATTAAAAATTTTCTCCTTTAATTTTTGAGTAATTCTCACTATATTTATACCTAGATGTCTCCTTTAAAAAAAAAGCTAGAGAAACAAAACAAGAGGAACCGTATGTTATTTTCATCTTTATAAAAATAATAATAAAAAGCCCACAAGTATTTCACATGTTGAAATAGTAGCTTTATATTCTTCCTACTCCACCTTCTTTAGCCATAAAGTACACAAAGCTTCTTGAATTTGACTTTTATTATACTGTAAGTACTTCACCTGGACATGAAACCTCACAAATCTCTTCCTTTCTTTCATAGCTTTTTTTCGTCCTCAACCAGAACATGGACTTGCTGGTATATCTGGTGTAGAAATTGGGGGAGGGGTTATCAAAAAAAGTAATTTTTCCAAACTCTGTCTTTAGCACAGTAGCTGACAAGTATATCTAGACTTTACTATCAGTCACGGAATCATCCTGAATCTCTCCATGGTGACATTAATCTCCAAGATATTCTGTACACTACCCACCTCTTCTAACACTCCAACTGGCTTTGAAAAAGAAAACTGAGGGTAGTAGTAAAAGAAAGAGCTAAACTGTGAATATAATTATTAGACCAATTGGGGAGTCTGGATCAAAGGTTGCCTGTCCTCTACTAAGCAAGGGGGGAAAGTGAGCTTATAGTAGGTTCCCTTTTTTCTATTTTCTGTTAAATAATCTTCTAAAGTGACATAGTTAGTTTGATCTCTAAATGAATCTTTTTCATTGGTTTTCATTCTATCTTCCTTCTCAACTTGGTGATTTCAAGAAGAGAAAGAAAAATATGTCCAAAGAAAAAGAAATGGTTGGTGTTGGCAGCTGTGCATGATGCCAGAAACACTTTTTTGTATTAGCCTTATGATCTCATAGCTTTTTATACAGTTAAGGCTGAACTCTTGAATAAATAAGTGCTTTGGGTGCGTAGAAGAGTCACCTACAACAAAATATTTCCCTACTGTTTTCTTGATCGGACGATGCAGTTGCAACTTGTTTAGTTTAATCTTCCTCTCAGTCACCTTCCATTATTATCTGCACCATTTCCAGGAGTGCTTTTTACTGAGGCAGATGTCTTAATTTATCTCTCATGAGACAGCACTTGAAGAAACTGGAGGGAAAATGAGCAAAGGAGAACATTTTGGGACCAATGGCATGGGGTGAGGAAGCAATAGCAGTGGTGGGATTACACTGTGTATATGGCAGTTGTTTCTCTCTCTCTCTCTCTCTTTTGGCTTTCATTGCAGAAGACTGTTTTCCCTCTCTTACCCCTTCTCTGAGTGTCTGTTTAAGCACCAGGCAAATATTTGATCCTTCTGTATTATTATGTACTCTGAATAGAGATGCTGGGGTGTTCATGCACAATATGTAACAATGAGATTAATAACTCAGTTTCCCACCTCTGTTAAATTATGGATTGCTCTGCTATCTTTTGAGGCAATTGGAACAGGATCCTTCATTTTGCTATTAGAATTATGATATTAGTGCAAATCCTTTCCCCCAAACATACTTTCATTTGTTATAAAATAATGGTTGACTGAAGAATAAGAGTAAATTATGTGATGACTTCATTAAATTTCACGTAAAGTTATATCAAACTGAATTATTTCTGCCTTTTTACTTCAACAGTGCAGTCTTATACATATCTACTCAAAGCCCACTAAGTTCAAAAGCCTTACTTCTAGGTAAATAACCCTATGAATGCAGCCTAGATTTCTGTATTTTCACCTATTTTGAGTATTTTAGAGGCAGAGTATAATTGTAGTGGTATTTTTGTTTGTGAACACACACACTGCTTAAGTGTATGATTATTTTGCTGGCTGATACCATTAATTGTTTCTACAGTGTATAATTCATTTTTTCCCCTTTTCATAGGCTGTAGACTCATTGATTAAATATGTGATTTGAAACTGTTGCTTGAGTTTTTTATTCTGTGATCTCACAACACTGAAAATAAATAGAGTGCAAAGCAATAAAATATTTAAGAAGTGTTCTAAAGTAGTGAGATTCTAACATACGACCATGGAGTGTTTGATCTATTTCTCTTTTCAGTGCAGATGTTTTAGTATGATAAACTGATAATATCCATTGTCAAGCCAGTTGGTAAAGATATTATTAAAGGCTCTCTTTTCTTGCAGATCCATTGTATGGCATTTGGAATCTATTTGGTTATCAAATTCATCAAAATGAAATAGATGAACCACCTATAGATGCTGAGTCAACATCTGATGAACCCTGCACAGCAACCCCTGACGAAGAGTCTGCAGAAATCCTAATTGTGGATCATCTCTACCCTGAAATATACCATCTTGGGGAAGAAGAAGAAGAAGAAGATGAAAGCTGTGAGAACACGACTGATGTCACAACTCCTCCTCCTTTACGATATATCAATGGAAAGCAGCAGGTGACCACTGCACCTAAAGATACAAAAGCTGAAGAAGCAAGGAGTGATCAAATTGAAAGTTTAGCACACTCTAAAAATGTAATGTTTTCGCAGATCAATGAAACAAATATGCTATCTGAGAATGAGGTCCCTGCCACAGTGCAGCCAAATGAATCTACTGAAATAAGAGAACCTGCCATTACACAAAAAACAATGACAGAACTGGTTTTTAGCGGGGATTCAGAAATTCCTAGAACAGACAATGTTCTTGCCGTAACGTCTTTGTATGGCCAGTCGTTCTTAGACACAACAGAGAAAGTAGCACAATCTAGTACAAATTCTCATCATCTCTTAAGTAAGCATCCTAGTATTTCGTCGTTCATTAATGCAGAACAATCAGAAAGTTTTACTAGCCAGACAGAAGTAAACAGTTATGCCTCTTCTCACTTGGCAAAGACAACACAGAAAGAAGATTCTAAGGCTTCTGCTAAAGTTCCAAGCGATATACCTCCTTTCATTGCTGTAACCACAGGCATTGATGACAACAGGATGCCCAAAACAGAAGCTTCTGTTCCACAAAATGTTTATACATCAACACCCAGTATATTTTCTTCTCTTAAAACTTTATTGGAAGTAAGCAACAGTCCTAGTTCATTGAATATACCAGAAGGCTCTGGAGATATTCAAGAAAGGATTTCTAAATCTACAACTATAGTAATGCAAACGGGAGAAACAGAAAAAAATACTGTGCAGGAAATATTCTTGGATGCTGGCAAACAAATTCTTATAAAAAACAGCCACAGTGTTTCACACACTCCTGTTCCTTTGTATAGAGACACTAGTGCAACACCTGAAGATCATTTTGTGGAATTTATTACTACTCAACCTACAACTCCTCAGTCATTTTTAAGCTCTTCCAAAAGTGCTACAGAAGTAGAAGATGATAAGGAGAAAAGCACAATTTCTCTAGTCATGGAATATTCAAATACTCCAGAGGCTGAAAAGTTGCTGTTCAGTAATGACTTTAGTGAGAATGTCCAAGTTGTGAGCCAAGAATCCCCTAAGCCTACCACAGCAATTTCAGTAACAGATCATCCACATCTCAAAGCTGAAGAGGCCACAGAGAAGAGAATGTTCGTAGATGAAGAATCTGGAGATGGGTCTACAGATGTTTGGAAAAAAACTGGCACAGATGTACTTTTGGGGGGTCCCACCAGCAAAGTGGTAAGTACTGACTCCCCATTTATAGATCCAGGTTCTGGAGAAATTGATGTCATTACTCAAGCTTCACTGAGGACTTGGTCTGGAAGCACTGACACACAAGAAAAGGAGATACATATTCTTAATGCAAATGCATCACCATCAGAATTTCCGGTAGTTATGGATCCCACCATACAGGTGCTAGTTACTGAAACAGATGCAAGGGCCATAGAAACTAGAACAGAAAGTCCTGTTCCAAAGAAAGTAACTGATAACCAAGGAGGGCTGCAACATGAATTGGATACAGTTCCAATGGTATCATTTAGTGAAGAGTCGATTGTGGAGTCAAATGAAAAACTGATGACAACTCTTATACCAATGAAAGAGAAAACATATGCATTTGAAACATCTCATGTGATGATGTCTGTGGAACCTTTGATGAACATGAGCCATGATGTCAGAAGTATAAAGCCAGTAACTGAATCAACTGCAATTAGAAGCACAACAATCATTTCTGCCAGTATCCCTACAACATTAAAAGACAGCATAATTCTACCAGAAGGAGGTTCTGAACCTGTACAACATGAAACAAAAGAATCTGTTCAACCACAAACCACAATATATCTTTCTCCCCCCACCTTTGAAGATAACATTGATCTTGGAGATGTGGGCTCTGGAGAGGAATCAAGAGATGACAAACACAGTGTGACACTAGTGCCTGATGATTCCACAGAAATAATAACTAATAATACATTTACATTGATCGAACAAGGTTCTGGAGACATTGCCTATACCACTGAGCCTCCAGTAAAAACAACTGTTTTGTCACAGCAATTGGTAGGGAAGTTTGGACTACACACAGCGGCAAATGAAATTGAAGATAGCAGCATGACAGTGGCATATCAGTTGTTCACAGATGCACCTATAAATAGTGCTACCATGACACCTTCAGAAAATACAGAAATTGTGGGAGAAGTTTCCAATGTATCTGTCATTCAAGAGGAAATACATGCTGAACTGGAAACAAAAAACCCACCTTTGGAAAATGAAGTAAATTCTTTTGAAGAAACTGATGAAACATCAGGAAAAATGGCCCAGACCTCTGAAATGATCACACAAGAATATTTTATTAAAAGTGCAGAAACTGTAAGTAAACAGTCACAGATATCAAATGCCGCTACATCTACCCCATATATAAAAGAAATGAAATCAGATGTCACTTCTACTAAACCATATGACAAAACCTCTGTAACTGAGGCTCAAATGTCTCAGGACAAATCTGTCACCATTTTACTGTCAGTTGAAGAGAAAGAAGAACAGTTGGTACAAAATGCTCACCCCACTGAGGACAGCCACAAACTTATTCCTGTATCAGCAGTGTATCAGCCAGTAAGTGCAGCCATCAGTAGATCTCCATTGTCCCCAGAAGAAGGTTCAGGGGATTCGCTCACTACTGTTCAACCTATCACTCTGAATGTGAATTCTCCTATATTAACAGAAAAAACAAACATGTTTGATCGTGATATCATACTTCCTCAAAGTTCAGAAGCACCTGTTACAGAGAAGGAAATGCAAGAATCTGACAGAGATGTCACTGAATCAAATGAAGGTTCTCTCAATGAAATTAAATCTCCACATACTGAAGTTGGGACATTGCTTGTGACAAATGACAAAAGAATGCCTACTTCATCTACCCTAGATGTCAAGCTAACTGATACTGAAAGAGCTACCATAAAGCAGTCGATTCTTGAAAATGATCAAAATCAAGAGAATTCCTACCATGAAGAAGAAAATGTTACATTATCAACACCAGCTACTACTAGTAGAGTTTCCCAGTGGGGAACATCTTATGTACTTCAACACAAAGATGTAACTCCTGTTTCAGAATTATTTACTCGGACACCTCATGAAATAGCTCAAACACTTAAAACCACTTTAAAACCCAACATGAGTGTAACAGTTCATGAAGGTTCTGGAGAGGGTTCAGGCTTGATGGAAGTTGTGAGAAAACATTCCAAATTACCTACACAATTGCCAAAAAGGGAAATATCACCTACATCTCATATTCCTGTGCAAAATTCTTCAGAGGTTATAGATCTAGATAGAGCAGTGAATGGATCCCAGACAGTAGTGATATCATCAGTTGATACAGAAGAAAAGGATATGTTACCAACCTTGGATAGTGGCCTCCCAGAGACATTTGCAGATGAAAGTTCCACAAACAGCATAAAAGATGATGAAGAACTTATTCCAATAATTGGTGGCAAAAGAAATTATTCTGAGGATGTTTCTAGTTTTATTGACATTATTGAAGTAGACCATGGAATAATATCTGATGAAACAACAATAATAGATGCTGATAAATTGAAATCCAACATTGAAGATGAAAGTGGCCAAATAACTACGGTTTCTGAGAGGCAATTGATGCATGGTGTTTATACTTCAACAACAGAAATGCAGAAAATACCATCTGAAATTACTTCAACTGGTGTTAAAGCTGGTGACTTTGGGGACATTCAAGAAACTCCTGCAACCAGTAAGTTCATCTACCATGAATCCATAGTATTTGAACATACACCAACGTCTGATGATGTGGGTTCAGGTGATGCCCTATCTTTCACAATAGATCCTTCTGCTTCTCAAGAGATACCTCAAGTAGTCACATTGCTTCCAACCATGCCACTACTAATCAGTTCTACTGTATCACCTTCAACAAGTTCCAGAGTTGCTGATAAGGACAAAGAGTTTGATGTTAAAGATGCAGAATCCAAAAGTGCCATTGAAGACAACTCTGAATTGCAAACACTCTCAGATAACCAAGCAATAGCTGATGAAAGTGAAATTGCTTCTACTACTATGACTTCAGGAGAAGGACAAGTAGAAAAGAAGCACATGGATCTGTCCCCTACTCCGCCAGAACTACCTTTTATACCAGAAGAAACATTGGCCACTCACAAGTCTGAAGCAAGCACGGCAGTTGTGCAACTTGTCTCCCAAAATGTAACAAACTCTGAAGAAACAAGTAACAAGTTCTCAGAAGTGAGCACTGCTACCACAGAATCTATGAAAACCGAGCCGGAAAAATTGCTACTTGTTACTCAAACAACAAAATCTCCTGTGACTGTTTATTTACTCAATGGAGTTTCTGAGCACCCTAAACAAATTATCTCAAGTACGTCACCATCTGCTCAATCTGATAAGTATGATTTGTCTGCAGTAGAAACCTTTAAGGAAGCTAGTGCTGACATTGCAGCAACATACAAACCTATCGTGCAACAACCTTCTGGCAACACAGAGTTTCCATTTGCATCTTCTCCCAAAGAGGATTTAGAGAGCAAAATCACCAGAGGTTCACCTATTTTTGTAGGGCACATAACAGAAGCAAATGGGAAGCTAGAAGATTCAGAGGAAATATTTATTATCGAAGAAACCACTCTGTCCACAGAGTTTCTTTCAAAAGAAGCAAAACCCACAATATCTATATCTCCAAGTGCTGAAATTCTAGATGCCAGCTCAGAAGAAACTTCTCAGAAAGTAAAGGAGCTTAATCAGTTAGAGGGAAATGGTGCTGAGGGAGACTTGCCATGGATACACACCACACCTCCTTCAGTTCCACATGAGAGCAAAACGGGTGGGATATTTGGTGCTGATGGAGAAGCTGATGTTTGGCCAATCTCACCCCCACCATATGTGGATACAACGGCAGAACCTCAGAATGTCCAGAAAGAACCAACCACATTTTCATCTGATCCTGCAACCAAAATTCCTCAGAACATTCCTGATTATAATAAACAGATAAGAAATACAGTGGGTCTAAACACAAATGAACTTGTAACTCCACCATTTTTACTTCTGGATGTTACTAATGGATCAGATTTTCTGATTGGCACAGGTGAGGGTTCAGTTGAAGGCACCGCTGTTCAGATCCCAGGTAAGATTTAAATTGTCTCATTTTATTCTTTCCACTTTTTCATTTAAATGAAAATACTTACCTGTGGAAGTAATATGAGAGACAGGAAGATAAGAAGGTTAAATCACACCATACATTTCCTCTGATGTTTTTATTGTCTCATGTCCTTTTTGGACACACAGTCACATGGATAAGTGTAAGATGTCAACTGAATTTTTGTGGCTATGACTGGCAGTAGTTAGTGTGATGACAACAGTACTTCCCTTTACTATTTGCTGTGTCTAGGTTTGCTTGATTGATATGTTATAGTTGTCCATTCAGATGTGTGTCCAGAAAGAGGATTATCTGCATGACATTAAAAACATGCTGTATAAGTTTCAGCCATGAAATATATAGCTCCGTGGTTAAATAATTTTAGAGAAGTAATTGAACAGCAACTATTTTGATGGTAGCCATTGTTCTGAGATTCTTAGGGTTTGATATTTCACAATGGTAGAAATTTATTGATTGAATTGTCTATCCCTCTATGTGCAACAGAGCTGTGTAGTCTTTTTGATGGGATTCACATTTGCACATACATTCTGGAATAAAACCCATTGACAAATAATAGCAGAGATGAGTTCAAACTCCTTCCCTGCTCTGTTGCCCCTGTCGGTACCAATTTCCTTCAGATTACACTTGTGTGTTCATTTATTTGGGAATATGCTTCTGGGTAGAATGCTGTCAATATGGATTTATGCATGTTGAATAACTATTTCAAATGTACAGAGCTCCTGTTCAAAAAAACAATGAATGACTGAATTGTTTTCTAATACTGTTTATGGGACTGGTTACTTCTTTTGCTATGACCAAAATGTTTATGAATTGTCTGGGCTGTTCTAAACAGTTTTAAGATACGGGTTTGGTAGGTAAGTAGGTAGGTAGGTAGGTGGTTGGTTGGATGGGTAGGTGGACAGACAGACAGACAGACAGACAGACAGACACACATTTTGTTTAGATTTGCTTTCCCCCCATATTCAGATTCCCTTAAATTAATGAAAGGTCTCCAGCTGTTTTTTATTTCAGGCTTTTATATGAAGCGTTATGAGCAAATAACACATATCTTTGGGCAAATTGCTCTGCATTTGTGATTAAATACCTCATATTTAAGTGGCCTAGGTTGCCAGATGGGTGGTATAGAAATTAAATGAACGAACCAACGAACGAACAAACAAATAAATAAAATAAAATAAAAGAAAGAAAGAAAGAAAGAAAGAAAGAAAGAAAGAAAGAAAGAAAGAAAGAAAGAAAGAAAGAAAGAAAGAAAGAAAGAAAGAAAGAAAGAAAGGCAGTGTGGAACGTACTCTGTTCCTTTCTGACAGCATGGATTCATGTGTTATTTAATATATGGGTGTTGTCCTGAAAATACTTCATGTGTGACAGTGACATGCCATGGTAGTTCTGAGTAACTGTAGCCTTCAGAGGTAAAAGATGCTAATCTGAATCTGCGCTTAGATGGGAAGGTTACAGGTATAATTGAATAGATGTAATAGCTTCACTGCCTCCTTTTGGATAGCATCACACATGATTCTATAGGACACATGCAAAAGAATTGGTCAAGATAGGGCACACCATATATAGCATGAAAATCAGTTTATTGCATCACCATTTTGCATTAAAAATAAAATAAAATAAAATAACCCCTAGATGTATTCGCAAAGGCTTTCACGGCTGGGATATAATGGTTGTTGTGGGTTTTTTGGGCTCTTTGTCTGAAAGAGTGCTGTCCTCTGAAGATGCCAGCCACAGAGACAGGTGAAACGTTAGAAAGAACAACCTTCAGAACACGGCCAAAGAGCCCGAAAAACCCACAACAACCATTAACCCCTATATATTTGCAATCACAATGGAATTGAGGTTTGGCCTCTCATCTATTTAGTCCACTGATATATCTATCAAGAACTACTGTGGGCATGTAGTTTGGTGGAAGACAGATGATACTGTGAAATAAATGAATACTTGTGCAAATGATATCCAGAATGGTGGGAAACAATAAGTGTGATATAAATATGCATGTTCTGCATACGCAATCATTCCACAAACTAACCCTGTTCAAATAAATATGTCATTCACTGCGCACATGTTTTAACTGTTTTCAGCTATAATTAATTGTCATGTCATACCAACTAAATTCTCAGCAGAATATGTTTGCCAAAAATAATACAGGATGTCATTAGAAGACAATGAAATATTGCTGGAAATAGATTGTTCTTGTGAATGAGTAAAATTGTATTGCCAGCACAGAAAACTGATGACTGATTTATTGTTGCTGCTCCTATTGTACTGAACTGATTTGTGTGTGTTAGGTGCTGCTGGTATTTTGAGTGCTTCCTCAGTAAATATAGAGCAAATTTGGCAGCACTAGTTAAAAAGCAGAGGAGTATCAGTGCAAACAAGAAATATTAGAAAATACAGAAATTGTCAATGAACTCATTTTGCAGGTCAAGATCCATGCAAAAGCAACCCATGTCTGCATGGGGGCACTTGCTATCCACGCGGCTCTTTCTACATCTGCACCTGCATGCCGGGTTTCAGTGGTGACCAGTGTGAAGTAGGTAAGAAGTAAACAATTTGTTGGTATTTGAGTGTTTAATTATTCAGTGTACAAGAAAACAAAATATTAGTTGAGTCATATATTGAAGGGTCTACTGAAGATTCAGATCTTTGCAGGGTCTGAGCAACATCCCAATCAGCCAAAGACATATGTTTGTGGGAATAAATTTGAATGTGCCAGTTTGTGGTGTTAAGGACACAAAAGCCAGTTGCACGCAGAATGCTAGATTTTGTCCAGTAAGACTATTTTTAAAATGATTTATGCTGTTTGGTTTCTCATCTGCTATTCTGTATACAACCGAATAACTTGGACACTGCAGTGTTATTAGTTTTATTTCTACCTTCTGCTGTTTCCCTTAATAAAAGCAAGACCACCACAGATGATCAAATTAACCAGATGGAATGTTTATATCCAAGAATGGTACAATGAGAAACTGGTTCAGATTTATGAATGAATGTTGCTTACCGCTCTATGCAAGTTGACTTAAGTTTTAAGATTCTCTTTGTAGAACCTCTGAAACAGGAATGCCGTTGTCTTGTATCAATGAGCAAGATTCATGATAAACCCTTCCATTTCCACTGAATTTCTATAGCATCTTTATTCAAAACCTTTTCAATAGTTCTTGCTGGCAGTGAAAAAAAGAGCATTTGTTGTATGACTATTTGAATTAGTGCTATGGTGAAAATTTCTCCCATTTGAATTTTGACCATCTCATTCAATTTAATAAAAATAATTAATATAAAGAAGAATTCCACAGGAAAGAAATTTTGGACAAAAATCTCAATAGCGGGTTTAAAATTCTTGTTGCTCATGTTCCTGCTCAATGTTTGTGAATGTTTTGGGTTACCTTGCTGAATCATTTCCACACTAGTCAGAAGCCTCCCTAGCTTCCCACACTTCATTTAAACCCTAGGGAAAGACATTATATAAACTTCTTTAAAATGTTTATAAACTGTTGTGAAGCTGGAGGATGAATTGTGGTGCAAGGCTAGTTTCACTTTTTTCCCTGATGCTGAATGCTGTACTGAACTCCCTTGTATCTGCTGCAGGGTTTACAAAGAAGGAGCTGTGTTACAAGTACCGTTTACAGGAAAATGTATTTACAATGACCTCCCCAAATGTAGCATTTGAGAGGCTTTGGGAAAGGTGTTGAACCCTAAATAATAACAACTGGTGCCGTGCCAGTATTTCTCAAAAAGCACTTTTCTTAGAAACGTTCTGAAATGTTTCTTTTGTTTAAAAACTCCCTTGGAAATAGAAGGCCACTTTGCAGGATTTCTTCCAAAACATGCTTTGGTATCCTAGTATTGTGGATGCAGCTCATCTACTTCTACTTTTCCTGACTATGCTAGCTTTGCAAGGAGTAGTTCACTTCCAATATTTTTGTTTCTCTTCCTGGGCCATGCCTTTGATGAAAAAATACCTGTCCTCCAAGATCCTTAACATCCTACCCTCAACATCATAACCATCTGTAGGACATTGAAGGCTGTGTCTGAAAGGATCTTTTGTCCCCGTATGGATCAAGAGAAAGGAGTAGTTGATAGTGGACTTGGTGAGTCTTGGAAAGCTCTGTCACATCCTGGATTTTCACACCAGGAAAAGACAGCACAGTTTCTGAGACATCGTATTAAATCCTATAAAAACTGCTGCCCTTGTCTGGAAGGAGTCAACTACTATCACCATAAAATTCTTTTTCTGAGAAGTGACAGGAATTATTCTAGCTACAGATCTATGGCCACTTTTGTGTTCTCTGCTGTTTCCTTTCCTTCTTCCAGCAGCTCAGAATCACTGTCCATGATAAGGGGAGGAAAGTGATGTATTTTACTTAGAAATGGCCTCATAATTCAGAGATATAAATATGGCTAGTGGTCTATGCACATGTTAAAGAAGAACATTACATTTGGCAGTGTTAGGATTCTTGAAGTCTATTGATGGTTCCATAGTATTCGTGAAATGGTTAATATATGCAAATATTGGTTTCTCTTGAATGTAAGAATGCCTATTTTAAACGCCTTGTAATTTTCTTGCACAGACATTGATGAATGTCAATCCAGCCCTTGCAGAAATGGAGCTACATGCATTGATGGTGTCAATACGTTTACCTGCCTTTGTCTTCCAAGCTATGTTGGGGCTCTTTGTGAGAAAGGTAAGAAATCAATGTGAAATTTATAATAAACACAGCTGCAACCACAATGGACCTTAATACACTAATTTGCCCCCCCTCCCTGAAAGTAAGTTTTAAATCTATCAAAAAGTTAAGTGTGCTGCTTCTATGCCACCCCATAGTACTTAAAGCACTCGGGGTGGTTTGCAATTTAATTATGCAGGCTACATATTTTCTTCCCCTTCATCCTAGCAAGCTGGGTACTCAATTTGCTGACTTCAGAAGGATGGAAGGCTGAATGAACCCTGAGATGACTATCTGGGATTGAACCTGGGTTGTGAGCAGAGTTTTGGCTGCAGTACTGCAGTTTAACCACTGCACCATGAGACTTCACAAGAAGGAAGAGAGATACACCAAGAAGAAATTATATGAAGTACTATCAACACATTTCCTAGCCATTTGGGTTTCCCTTTCCTACATAAGCACACCATAGCAAACCTGAATCTTTGTCACACTCCCTTGCTTCCTTTAACTCTTCTGTGTACTAGAGAATGAAATTAGAATGATCCTCCTATGATTTTAAGCAAATGGTTCTTCCCTGTGCAGAACTGTTCTTCAGTGTGAAGATGTGTGATCTAGTGAGGAATCCAGCCAGAAGAAGTAATTATATTTTGTTCCTACTTAGTTCCCACTGATTACAATTTTAGAGAACCACAAATGGTGGTCAACCAGTTGCCATTAGGATACCCACACACAGGGGAATGAGTGAATCTTCACTCTAGCATTCTTCAGAAACTGGTACATGGAGGCATATTGTCTCTGATAAAGGAGGTGACAAATGACTATCAACTAGTAGACATTCATGGACCTAACATCCATGACTTCATCTAATAATCTTTTAAAGCTGCCCAGAATGGCAGCCGTTCCTACAACTTGTGATAATGAATTCCACGGTTTAATGATGAACTGAGTAAAGAAATGCTGCCTTTTAAATAGAGGGGAACTGGTCTATTGAAGAGTAGAAAACAGTATGAAGACTGGAGAAAGGATGATGTGCAAACCTTAGGCTTTGTCATGGCTTGTTCATACAGCATACCCGTGGAAGGAACGATCAGGATGTGTTGAAGATGAATACTTCTTAGGAATATGCATCAATGAAGTCAACATCAACCTATGCCTCTGTTGGTTCTGCATCTTATTTCATCTACTTCTTTCCCCTCTCTTTTAGCAAACAAGATTTGTCAATTTATTTGGTTTTTTTCACCTACGTAAATGCACAGATGATTTCATGCTGGTATGCATTCACCCCATCGACTGAAATGTTTAAGGAATCAGGGTTTTCCTCACATTTGAAATGTGAACATTTTTCTTCATGTACTTTTCAAATAATGCCAATTTTTTCCGTACACGTGAGGATATTGGGGCACAAACTTTATCTGCCTCACAGAAAATCCATGAAATGCACAGCAAGATAGACTTCTTTATTCCTCAGACTGGATTCAGATACCTCACTTCCTAACTCTTTTTCTTTACTTTAGATGTAAGATAAATTCTGCTTTCAGAACAGTGTACTGTGGCCACAATTTATAGGGGGAAGACTGCATCTAGTTACATGGTTAGTAAAAGAAGCCCCTTTCATCAGATGGACAAAGTCTTGTCCCGAGTAAATTTCTCTGTGTGTTCATCAACAACATAATACATTGCATGTGTGCCCAGGTGTAGAGGATAAAATATAAACAGGTGGGACAAAGGGGCATGAAATATAAGAAGTGTGTGACTTCTTTGCACAGAACTTGGACATTTATCATTTAAGCACAACGATGATAGCACAAAGTTCCTTGATATCTTTGAGAATTTCAAATCTGCCATGTGAGCAGAAAACCTTTGAACCTGACAGACTCCTGAACAAAACCCAAAAGCTTCTCAAGCTGACTTTGTGTCTTCTTTTCTTCTTTGTCTGGGTCATGTCCTGCAGTCATTAGGCATCAGAAACATGTTAACCTATGGCCCTCAGCAGATGTTATTCACATAACGTTCCCGTGAGGCTGTCTTCCAGCTTTGTTTAAATACTACAACTCTGCCCTACTTTTGGAAAGGTGCTATTGTAGAACAAACATGAGTTTCTCAGCATGGGTTGTTAAGTTCTGTCCAAAGGTAACAGGGAAATTTCCAAGAAGAATGAGCTAATCATTCTAATGGTGCAAATTACCCCTCAACCTCGAACATAGGAAGTTTACCCTCAACCTCAAATGCAGGAAAATACTTCCCTTCTTTTTCCATCTTGCTGTGACTGGATTCATTCACAGCTAGAACAAGAGAGTCCTCCAGACATAATTACATAAATATTGGAAGGTTTCAGCTTTGTCTTTCATCCTAAGCCTACTGGGTGAAAGGCTGTGAATTTACAAGTGCTTTTTAAAAACTTGCCTGAAGGAACTTTTGTTTTGTTTTGTTAACGCTGAAGCCTCAGGCATAGGACTTGATCCAGTGCTCATTATGTTTCAGTTTTTCAGTAGTCCAGCCTAGGCTGGAAACATTTTGTGTATTCATCTTTTTATATATGAGAATCTCACTATGTTTTTACAGCCCAAGGATGTTTCTGAAAATATATTTCCTTAAGAAATCCATAATACTGAAATAGCCTGAAAATCATGGTAACTTGTGCTTTATGACCCACCAAGGAGTATATTTGAGAGGCTTAAGGGGAACATTTCCTGGTTTGTGAATCTGGAGCAGACTGTTCCTGAGTCAGCACTAGAATCTACATTTCTCCCACTCAAAGTCCTGTGGCGGTTTGAGACACAGAAGACATTCAGTATCAGCTTTCCCATTCACGACTTCTTCTTCTTCTCCTTCTCCTTCTTCTATGAACTGACTGTTCTTCAAATAGTTGTTTGGCAGTTAGTCCCATTCTTGTCATTGAACCTGACTGAGATATAAAAGCCAAGAACAGATGGCATATATTTCTGTGCCACTGAAAGAGCCAGAGCCTGGAATATTAGGTCTGAAAATCAATTAGTTATATGTTAGACACTGGGAATTTAGCTCTTTGCTAACTGTTTAAAATTTCAAAATCCCCACCCCTTAAATTAACCTTATTAATCTTGTTTGCCCTCAGCAAAGGGCACATATGAGTTCAGTTTCCCTATCTTTAAAAAAGAACAGTCATATGTTTCTGTTTTAAAACTAAATTGATTATAGGTACCCCAATCTATAAATGAATTTGGACTATAATAACCCATCTTAATTTGAACTGTCAACTGTCTGTGTTGACAGTTTAGGGCTTCTGGAAGTTAAGAGTCTAAAACCATGAGGAGTACCAAGATTGGGAACTGTTGCTCTATAATAATTATAATAACAAAAAAGAACCACCACCTTAGAACTGCAGAGCTTGAAGGGACCCCATGGATCATCAAGTCCAACCCCTGTCAAGGAGGCACAGTAGGTAACTGAACGCTCAACATCTGACTCCGCAGCCAGAGACCTAAACCACTCAGCTATCCAGCAGTTGACTGCGTTCAGCTCTACTGCTTGCTAACACTAGTAGAAGATTCTGCATAAAAATGTAGGCCTGGTTGAACATTGGCTCACAGCCTTGATCATAGCAACCAATTTCTGTCAGACCCAAATTAGTTAACATGCTTGTCCAAAAACTGGAAAAAGAATGGACTTGAGCATCCCATTGATAATGTCTGAAAAATGTTATTGTTTGGAACAAAACCACAAACCAGCAATGTCCATGAAAGATGAAGTGGGATGATTTACAAGATCCCTTTCTTTTGAGTAGATTGTAGATTGAAAAATAAGTCCCAGCTTACTTTTGAAGTCATGTAGGCCTAGTTAAATGGCCATCCTACAGGTACTGATAAGTTTGTCTGTTTGAATGAGACAGAAATGGAAATGATTAATGAAAATCAAAAAGTTAAAAACAAAGCCTACAAAAGTACTACTCTGGATTAGGACCCCAGATGTTTATTTGTATCTCACCTCTTCCCCATCTGACAGGGATGGCTGTATGCAAGCCATTTCTTTTTCATGTTCATTCTATTCAAAGCAGACAGTTCCGTTCCCTCAAGGAAAATCTGACCATTAATGTTGCAAGACTGAAATAGAAGTATCAGTGAATAGTAGCTATAATAAAAATGTTTGTAAAAGAAAAGAAAAAAGCAACCCCATCTCCTCCTTGTAGTCTCCACAGTTTGTATCATGGGGGATATAATATAGAAATCTGAAATTACCCTTAACTGCAATAGCCAGAAAGAATAGTTTTCCAAAAACCTTTTGAGGTATATGTGAATGGGCAAAATCCTGCTGGCACAGTTCTGCCAGCATAAAGCAGACCAGGGGGTTGGAAATAATAAATTTAAAACTTCTTATCCTGCTTCATCAGCTTCTGAGGCTCCCTAGGCTCCCTTCTACCCCAGAGAAGACTTTGGGAGCCTTGGCATTTCAGGGAGCTTTTAATAGTCATAAATAGTTGCTGAATCACCGTGAGTGGGATCAGGACCGATAATTTTCAGGGCCAAGGAATTTTGGGGGAGCATGGATTAGATGGTTGGACTGTCATTGAAGCTACCAACATGAATATGACCCAACTCCGGGAGGCAGTGGAAGACAGGAGAGCCTGGCGTGCTCTGGTCCATGGGGTCACAAAGAGTCGGGCCCAAATCAGCAGTTCACAAGCCATATTTTTACTACTTCCTCCCTAATGCTTTGGCTATGAGGACCTCCTGGGGTAGAGGCATTATGCCAATAAATGGCCAAGGAGAAATCTAGTTAGGCAGGGGGTGGTGGCTAGAAAGAGGCTGGTGGCAGTAGCAGTTTAAATCTGCTAATAGAAACCTTTCATTGCCAGAAACTGATAGAAAAACTGTACATTCTTTGCTATGCATGCTGGGATTTAGAACCCCAGATTCCCCTTATTGGTAGGAAGGACTCTAAGGATGCTCTGTCAAGAAGCTGGCCCATCTCTGTTTCTACCTTCTCCTTCCAATGCCTCGGGTATGCTGGGCCCTTGTGTGGCCTAGAAGCTGGTGACTTCT